CCTGGTTCACCTCTCTTTCGAATTCCTGGATCTGCCACTGTTGATTTATTATATAATTATTTTTTGCGCTTATTTATAATGCGTCTATTGCAATTTTCACTTTATCCTCTCAAACAGTCCTAAGAACGTTCAGAGTGCGCTACTTCACAGGGGGATTCGCCCCTTGACCCCGCCGGGGTCCTACGTAATTTGCATAAAGGCTCCCCCCCCCCCTTTCAAAATCCTGGCTACGTCCCTGAATAAATTCAGTATGCAAGCGAAGCGAGCATCTAGGCTGGGGGCCAGAGGCCCGCAAAGGGCCCTTGGAGAGGTCGCTTCCTGGAAGCTACGGATATTTGACGAAGTTTGGTGAATTATATTAGTAATTTTATAGTCATCAAGGTACTGTAATATGACTTATAATTGTTGTATTTTCCGAACAAGTCGAGGTCGAGATTGCTTCCACGCTCACAATGAACTATTCATCATGTGAGGAGTATCTTTTATATGGTATTCCCCGACGAAACCTTTTTTTTTCCCCTGACGGATAAATATTACCCTTCTATGAGCCCAGAAATGGTACTTCAACAGTGGCACCTGATCCAAGAAGTCGAAATAGTGGGGTGGGTGGCAGGGAAGGACTTGCACAGATAGAGTATCTACCCGCCTCAGTCTCACCATGGTTGGGGTTGCGATTAGAAAAAATAAATAAATAAATATGAAAAATTTAGGCTAGGGGGTGCGTACCGGCTGGGTTCCACCACTGTTTAATATAACATTTGACCTAGCCTCTCATTTTGTTTTACAAATGATTAATTCGTAGTGTCAAGTGAAAAGGTTTTAACTAGGCCCTACAATTTTTCTTAAACCTATGAAGAACTTTATTTTAATAAACGGCCTTATTGTTTTCGTTAAATTAGATGGAATTTAAATGTGGTTATATTACGTTAATTTGATGGTTTACTATAAGCCAATCTGTTACACTTACATATTTACCTTTTAACATAGAGCGTCGCACCATTTAGTGCTTACCTCCGGCCTGTGCGAGCGATTCCACTGTTTTCTTCATGCTCGAGGATAGGTTTCAAGGAAACTTTACAGACGCGCCCTTTTACAGACATCGATGAATATAGTACACACTGGTTGTTCAACTCACAAAGAGAACTTGTAATGTTCGTTTGAAAATAATTTAAAAAATCTATATTGTATAATAATAATAGCAATAATAATAATGATGATGATAATAATAATAATAATAATAGGTCGATTTATAAGGCGAAAATAAAGTCTCTAAGCACCAAATAATAATAATAATAATAACAATAATACTAATAATAATAATTATTATTATTATTATTGTTGTTCGTTCGTTAACAATGTGTGTCTCTGGTGCTGGGAGCCATCACAAAAGTGTGGGGGGGGGGAGGGGCAGGCCCTCAGTAAAAAAGTGGAGGGGCCAATCCCCCAACCGCTTCCGCCTCCGTTGACTGTACTATAGTCGTCGCAATATTCCGTATCATATTGTTGTGATTTTGTAATGAAGTTTAATTGTTTTTGAAGGTAGATTTTGTTTTCTTTGTGAGTCAAACGTACAATAGATTTTTAGCTGAATTTAATTATTTTTTGTTGTTGTTGTATGTTGTAGTTGTTCAGTTTAACTTAGTTTAAAGAAACGTTATGCATGTGGAAGCGGTTTGGTGCAATGGAAATGATAGGGTTTCCCAACCTTGAGGTCGTGGTTTCAGTCCTTTGCTGTGCATTTCGTTTTGTCCTTGTTTTGTCTGTTTCACTACTCAGCTGTATGAATGGGTACCAGCAAATTGCTGGAAGTAACCTGGTGGAACAGCGTCCTGCCCAGGGCGAGCATCACACTCACCGCTTCACGCTACTTAGAACTGGGGACAATCTCCAGCCCATGACTCATGAGCACCGTGGCTCGGCAAAGATTTATTTTTTTACATCACATGCAATTCAGTCATGATCAATGATGTTATGCCTAAATTTAATTTAGAAATACAGAGAGTATACAGTTTATCAGTGACATCAAAATTGAAGTAACAAAAACATGTAATAATATAAAATCATACTAGATTATTATTCATATTATCTATATTATAAGTATGCAAGTTTTCCTATCCTACGAGCCGTGACAAATCTTTTAATTTATGATAGGTATTAATACTGTTCATTATAAGGGTCGGCCTACCTGTACATGCTTTCGAACACAAGTTAATCTTATATAATCTATGATATTATAGGCCAACTATTATCATTTACAATAAGTTATTAGATATACAGACCTGGTAAATTTTGTCCCATTTCTTTTAACAGGTAAGACTTTTATAAGATTTCTTCGGTTTTCATTTATTCAAATTGTGAACAATATCCTTTGAATAGAACCAGGGTGCCTACATTTTTGGTGTACAAATTTTAGCTAACGAATTGTGGCTTGGTGTTTGCTACATCTATCAGTCCAGTTCTTTTCTTGACTGGCACCACTGACGGATTTCACTTACAAGTGGTTTCAAGAGAAGGTTATTATAGGAAGGAAGTAGCAACAACCAAGCCATAATCGTTCTGACGCTGCTCACTGGTAGTTATCGAAACTGCTTACACCAAAAAAGGTAAGTTTATACACAACACACAAGATTTCTAGATCGTTGTAATTTATTGTAACGAATTCTTATAACGCTCTCTATATATTGCTCAGCTACAGTATGTAGGCCTACAATTAAAACAGAAATGCCTTACTTAACCATGGAAGTATAAAAATATATTTATACCTCCATGACTTAACTACTGTTTGGCTTCTTGGGGGTCACTCATGCAATACTGTTTTGTCTTGCTGGCGAATCATGGGAATTCCCGATGGACCCGAGTAGTGGCCCAGGGAGATGTTTTCATTTACTATGAACCATTAGAACCCCGTTAGTATATTGAATTGGGGGCAAATAATTTTGATAAGAATTATACCAGCCGATACTACATGAGAATCCGGTATTGGAATAGGAAGATGTTGGGGATGTGGGTGGGAAAGCAAAAATATGTCCAATGCTAGCAAGTGCTAAAACATCAATGGTGCGAAATTATACATTACTACTCTATACTGAGTAATTTGGTCTCTTATTCTCTATAATGATTGGGTACAATTGGTATTAGCAAAAACGTTGACCTCTGTACTTAATTTATTATCCCGGTACCTTACTTGAATTAAACAGGTTCCAGTTTGACCACTGCATAGGGTAAAGTCTTTCGGGTTCTTTACTTGACTGGCACCACTGACGGATGTAGATTACGCCTCACCCCTTATACTTGTGGATTCAAGAGAAGGTTAATACAGGAAGGAAGTAGCAACAACCAAGCCACAATCGTTCTGACGCTGCTTACTGGTAGTTAGCGAAACTGCTTACACCGAAAAAGGTATAAGGTATTGTTTATGTTGGTTTAATGCTGTCAACTATTTTGGGGCGCAGTTGATGATGTGTTTCTATTGCAAAAATAAGTTCTTATAACAATAATAAATCCATTGTTGTTTATTTAATTTCTTTCATTTTATAATGAACATAGCTGTTTATAAAACAGATACAACAGTGTTTGATATTTGGCTTGATCGTGTTCTTCAGACTTGTTTGTGAGTAGCCCCTATGTCAACACAAGTCAATTCGAAGACCACATGTCATCGTTAAATTTTTATTTTCTTATGTTTGCATAAACCTTCTATTCATGTAACAACAATGTTTATACTAAATATAGTCACACCCGGAAATTGTCGGTTGACGCTTTTAATAAGATCAATTATTACTTGGGGTTTTTTTTTCAGATATAGGGACGGAGATATTTTTGGAGATGGCCTTTATTGTTATGAACTGTTCTGCGGACACAATGGAAGTGTTCGCTACCCCAACAGGGGCCACGTTGTTCTCAATTTACTTCGTCTTAATATGCATCTGCTCAATTGTGGAAAATGCTATCATCTTGACGGCAATAATTCGCGTAAAACGACTACACAAACGTCGGAATATCCTCATCTTCAACTTAGCTGTGACGGACTTAATGGCTGGCGTAATTTATCCTTGTAGTACTATTTTAAACACAGTCTACATGGAAAGCATTGGCTTTATTATAGGTATTGTATCCGTCTTTACCATCCTCGCAATCGCCACCGAACGCTTCCTGAAGATTGTTGTATTCCCGAAGCGTAGCAACTCGTACATTGGCACTACACGTCAACTTGTGGGAGCATCGATTTTTGCATGGGTGATACCGTCGGTCATCTTATTGCCTCTTTCATTATATGACGATACTCTACATATTGTTATTTCCCTTACTCTTGGACCATTGTGCATTTTTGTTGTGATGACTGCAATATCTGTACTCTACTTTGCAATATATATCAAAATACGCTCTCATGATAAACGAATGCAAACTAATTTAAACCGAACCGAAAACTATAGTCTCACTAAGCTTGTTCTAAAGGCATATGTTGTCATAGTCGTAGTGTACGCTATTTGTTGGTTGCCTTGGGCGATAGAATCTTTCAGAAATATATACACAACTTATTATGATATCATTGACGAAGAGAGTCATTGTATTCCCCCAACTTTGGCTTTCTTTATCGGTGTCGCTATGGTATTGCTAAATTCCGCCGTAAACCCGATTATATATTGGCTTAGGTTACCGGATTTCAGGAAAGGGATTCCGGAATTGTTTGGTTGTTGTAAAACAAAAAATACTTGTTTTAAAAGCGTACACAATTCTAGTTCTCAAAATACAACCTCTATTGGCCATATCACCCATACAGACGATTTAAACTTAACTCAACAAGATCGTAAATAGTGTGACAATGTGCTAGGTGGCGGTAATGATATTTTCGACATATTAACAAAAACCTGTAGGGCCTATTATATAAAATAGTGATAGGTATACTACGGTACCGGTATATAC